CGGGCACCGCTGGCCCTCGGGCACCCCAGGGGCAGTGTGTGCGTGTCAACAGTACAGCGCGGAATGGGGCCCACGCCAGGGCCAGCATGACCCACAAATGCCCGTCCACGCTCACGGAGGGCTGGGCCGGCCGGCACGCGGTGGGCACAGGACCAACCGGGGGACACGGGCAGCCGGCCAGTGGGTGGGCTGTGGGCTGCTCCTCCCAAGTGGATGTCCACTGGAGTGCGCAACGGGGAGGGAGACCCGGAGACGGAGAAGACACGACCCGCTGCGCCAGGGGCAGGTCCCCAGCGCCGCCCACGGCCCGCAGACGCGGTCAGCGCCGCTCAGGGGCTGAGCACCTGCGCTCCCCAGAGGCCTCGCCCCGCAGCGGGGACGAGCACACGGCGGTCTCTGCGCACGGGCTGCCGAGGGCGGCTTGGCAGCACGCGTCCCCCGCCCCGCCGCCCCTGGGGCAGCCAATGCCGCTAACTCCCCGGGCCGCAGGCCGGAGGCCAGACGCCTGATGCCCGCCTGGTGGGCGCCCTGTAAGCTACAGGCTTGAGGAGGAAGAGGGCAGGCGATGACCAAACACGGCTACGACGCCCGCGCCTGGCGCCCAGCGTCTCTGCCTGCGCCCTCCTCTCCCTGAGGACGCGAGCGGAAGGCCAGGGCACCGGGAGGCTCTGCTGCCCCCTGGCTGGGCTCTCTCCAGAGCCCTGACCGCCGCGCACGGCCCGCCCGCCGTCCCCACCTGCCCGGCCCGGCCCCGCGGGTCTCCGGATGGGGCACCGTGGCCCTCGGCGCAGCTGGCCTGGACACTGGGCGTGCGGCAGTGGGCGGGGCCCGCCGGGGACCCAGCGGCAGCCCCCGCGTCCTCACCTGGGCCTGGCTCTTCTCCCCCGCGGCCGCCTGCTTCTGGAGCCGGAACCGGTGTGTGCCGTTCTCGAGGGCTTTAGCCTGCTGGGAGAACGCCCCGGCGTCAGGGGCACCCCAAACCCGCGGCAGAAACCCGCCTCACCCCACCGCAGCCGGGGCCACCCGGGACGGAGGCTGGCCGGACCGCGGGGGTCGCGCGCGGACGCAGGTCAGGACCCGCCCGTGCGGGGCAGGCCGCCGCCCTCCGGGTGACCAACACTTCTCTGAAGGAAGAGTCCTCGGAGCTGGCGCGGGCCAGGCTGTCCTCGCCGGCTGCGGACCCGAGTGGCCACTGGCTCGAGTGCTCAGAAGCAGCCCGTGGCGAGGGTCCCTCCGGCCCATGGTCACGCCGCACGCTGGGCTCGGCCGCTGCCGCCCCTGAGACGGCGGGAGGGGCCCAGTCTGCCCAGCTGGGGAGACCCAGCAGCATGAGGACAGCGGGGCGGGGAGGTGGGCTGGGGGCCCGCGGGGGCCTTAGGGCCACAGCCACGCCGTCCTGTGCAAGCGCCTCATCGCAGTCTGGGAAAAGCTCACGGCCGCGGCCGCGCGATGCCAAGCCTCGGAGGCACGGAGGGGCCTGCTGCCTGGGCAGGGCCCGGTGGCTTTCGGCCAGTCCGGAGGGAGGCCGAGCGGCCCCTCGTCCAGCCAGCGGCGTCCTCGCCGTCGGCCACGGGCCCGCCCAGGCACAGCCTGTGCCCGGAGCCCTCGCCGGCCAGCTGACAGGCAGGAAGGGCTTCCAGAAGCGCCAGGGAGGGTCCCCCTTGTTTGCATCCTACCCCCCACGGGCTGGGACGCAGGCGCTGGCTGCTCCCTGCGGCGTGAGGCCACCCCTTGGCAACGGCCGGTGCCACCGGCCACACGGTCACTGGGGATAGGCCCTGGGCTCCTAGAGCTGGCGTGACACAGAGGGCCCTGCAGGAGGGCCGGGCCCAGACCTGGGGGCCACGCCCTCACTGGGAGTGACCAACAGCCACCTCGTCCCGCCGCGGCCGTGGGCTCCTGCCGCTCGCTGCCACCCTGACCCCGGCTAACGCGGAGACAGCAGGGTCAGCTGGCCAGCTCCGGGCTGCGGCTCTGGACCAGTGTGAGGCCCCGTGCAGGGCCTAACCTCAGCCCAGAAGCCCCGGGCAGCGCCGCCTGAGCCCCGGGCCGGAGGCCGACTGCAGGCAGGGCGCTGGCACGTGAGCTTCTCGCTGCTCATTTGAGGCAAACCCACTAGGGAAATCAAGTCTGCTGTGGCTGAATGGTGCAGGATGCGCCAGCCCCCGCTGCTGGGTGCAAGGCCAGCAGAGCCCGGGAGAGCCCAGCAGAGCCCAG